CCCCCCTTTTCCTCCCCGGCTCTCCTGCAACGCGCTTGCGATTTGCGGAGGAAGGAACGTGTTTCACGGAGATATTACCTGCGACGAGACGCATCGACCAGCGAGCAGATCGTTCCGTTGTTTCAGAGAGAGGAAAAAAATAAAGGAATCGCGTCCACGTACTCGCTGCGTTTGTTGTTACAACGCGAACGGAGGAGTAAAGTTTCACTTTGGAATGATCGGAGATTTATAAGTTCACGCCGGGAGAAAGTTAATTAGTTCGAGTTGCCCGCGGTACGAATCTTTATTAATGACGTTTCGCTGCTTTTTATTTACGAGCGTTGAAACGATTTATCCCGTACATCTTCGGTGTCCAGCATTCGATTGTTGTCTCGCGCGAGATGACAATTTAGGGAACTGTATTTTTATCGCTCTGCACGGGACGATCTCGATAACACGACGCAATTAATTTTTCGCTTTGAAAATGATATCGTGTGTTTCATGAAAGTGTTCGAACACTTGTTACACATAGAAAGCTTCTGTAAATATTGTAATATATTGTATTTAAAGCAGATATGTATTTGAAAATTAGCACGGAGTACGAACATTTAACATTAATATATTTCGTACATTTTGATGCGAAACTAAATGTTTGAATTTTTGAATTTCGCAAGCCACTATTTATATTGTATAAATAGTAATTATAGTGCAATATATTATATATTATATATTAATATTATATATTTTTGAAATATTCTTAAATGTGTTTGTAATAAATAACCTTGTGAACAAATTTTCAAACTTGATCGGGACAGTCGTATCTTATCGCAGTGTACAAAATTTCTATAATGCACGTAATTATCCATTCAAGGTTGCTGTTCGAGTATTTGCAATTGTATGACGGCTTGCAAAATTCAAAAATTCAAACATTCACTTTCGCATCAGAATATACGAAATATATCTGTAGTGAATAATCTCTAACACAATATACATTTCTGATGAAATTGTACATTCTTTTGTCAAATTATGCAATCACGATCAGGTCTCAGGTCACAGTATTAACAATTGAAATTTCAAAATATTCCAAAACACGACAGAAAGGTGAGATAGAAATATATCCATAAAAGTATCCCAAGTACTATCGTGAGCCACTGTATGCACATCGAGGGTCTACGTGTGCTTCCTATGAAGTCTTTGATGCACTCCTTTTGCGCTTTGCTCTACTCCACTGCTAAAAGTGGAGGACACGAAGAAGAAGGAAAAAAAAAAAAAGAAAGTTATTCTTTTGCAAGTCGACCGATAGTCCCTCTTCGAAAGGAAAGCGTATGCATATGCATTTGCACGTCAACTATATCGACAATGTTGTACCGTTACTTCAAAGAAGCGGATTCGAGAAAGCGGGCAATTTTCTACACCGATTACACATTTTTTTTTTCTTTTCAGTATTCCACGCTATCGGGCAGCGAACACCGGCAATTTGGCCACTGCCAATCATAGACGCTCCACTCAACATTTATTTCAGCTCTAAGTTCCGTGGAAAAACTCGCCAATTAACGTTGCAGTTTCAAGGACATTTCTATCCTTTTTCCAACCATTGCTAGATACTTGTAAAATTCAATTCAAAACGTATATATATATATATATATATATATTCGATTAATATTTTTTAAAACGCGATACTTTGCAGAACTTTTCTCAACAACTCACTTATCGCGTTTCATTATACTACCATATTATATGAAGGAACAGAAAACGAAGTTTAAAATGAATATTTAATCGCTTCTTCTTGTTCGTTTCCCTATCCTTGATGGCTTTGCACCACGAGACGAATATATAACCGCGTAGAGAGCGAGTTTAACAGGATGGGATCACGAAAGACATATACAGCGTCTCGCAAATGTACTTGAAGTACGCGCCACGGAGAACTTTTACGTACATCGTTGCGCGTATCGTGCAAAATACTAGAGAGCTTTATGCACTTTATCAATTGCTACGTATATCTGCAGATATAATCTTTCAAACATTGTCAAGATAATCCAGATGATGGCGGTATTGCAACACATGAAATAAATCTGTCTTGGAGCTTTCTGTAAGTGTTCG